TCTTTGCTGCTATTTTGCTGATAGGATACTGACTGTCAAATTAAACAGATGCAGTGGGGGAGGGGGGTTAAATCCCCCCCAATAAAATAATAAAAATTAACAAGAAAATAAGAAAATTATTTATTCAGTTGTTGTTTTAATTATATTATTTATTATTGAATGCTTTTTATTAGTTCATCTATGAAGTTGTATGTTTTATAAATTTTGGATGAGAAACATTTCTAATTCCAACATCAATTTTCTAATGCTTACTTTAACCACTTATTTTCTTATTTGATCTATTGATCTTATTTTTTTTTAAATTTAGCTTATTTCTTGACTTTATATACAACTAAACAGCTATATAATAATTATTATAACAGCTCATTTCATTGAATCTGTTAAAGAATCTCTTTTACATACCTACCATAAAATAAATGCTGTAAAATCTGCTGTTACAAGATTAAGTTAATTTTATGAGTGATTTTAAGTTAATAGGAGGTATTGTGACTTATACTAAATTAAAACTTTAGTGTAATCTCAATAATTAATAATAAGCTATCAAATTTTTATGCTCCATAACAAAATATATATTTGAAGTTTTTGTTTTGTTTTTTTGGCTGAATTGGGATGTTTGCAAAAGTATCTAGAACTTTTATTTTATGAAGTATATTTCATACTCTGATTTGTGTTAATCTGAATGTGTAAATTTCTCATTTTGTAATATGTCTTCTACAAATTTTGAATACCCCACCACCACCACCACCACACTTAGGTAAGTACAGAGGCCAACCGTGCTCAAAAGCCAAGTAAAGGAGAAGATTAAAAGTAGAGAAAAATGGCCCTTTTAAGTTAAAGCTTATAATCATCATGGAGTAAGCAACGGAATACCACTACACCATTAATCCCTGAAACATATGTCTATATATGTAGGTGAGATGAACACCCTCAACCATGGTGAAGGCACTTCATCTAGAAGGCAAACTGAGATAAAACCAAATGGGTAGATAGAACTCAGTAGCCATCTTAATGGTCATCTATCTAGGAGAAGGAACTTTGATATAAAACCAACTTTTTTAATTTCATTAGAATGCCTAAAAATATATTGAAATATCACATTGTCCATCATGTTCTTACCAAGGGACACACCCCTCGGAATTGAGCTGAGGTTGAATGCTAAGAGGAAGAAGGAGAATTTGGTACTGCCTGTATGGAGTGGTGGTGTGAGATGTGAAGTGAAGCAGGTAGGAGTTAGGGGAGGAGCAATCCCTGTAACTATTCCTAAGGAAGGTGGATAATTCTCCAAATTTGGAAAGTTGATTACAAAAGCAGAAATAGATAACAAAGAAAGCCCTTATTAGAATTAATGTGAAAATTAAAGAATCAACAAATCCCAAGCCAGTTTTGGGCCAAAATGCATATAAGCAGATGACTTTGAGGAGCTCAGAGACTTGGGCTGAGAAGCTGTATCAAATGTCTCTGGAATCCATGCCAGCTCCCCCTAGAATTCCTAATTCCAAGACTTTGAATTCAACCTTCCAGAAGTTTAGACAAGGCCCAGAGTCACTATAGAGATTGATGTGGGAAGAGTTAATTTTTGATGTACCAACAGCTATATAAACCAATTGAAGATTAACCCCACAAATCTATCATTTTAATTTTCATTGTGAAAATATTTTTTCCTTAATATAGCATCTGCCATAGCTTGACCAGCATTGTGAGACTACGACCTTCGATTTTCCACTGCTCTGAGATCAAAAACACAGTGTAGGCAGAGTTGGTGTGGATTGAAGCAGACAGCAAAAGGTGTTAAATAACATTTAATCCCTTAAAAATGAAAAGGTTAATTTTAGAATTTAATAATAAATTAAAAGTCCAAATTGATGTCAGTAAATCTAGATCAAAATGGGACAATCTAATAAAGTTATATCATTGTTAGGTGAAGCGTGTGAGACCATCACAAGAAGACCTAAAAGGAAAAATATAGACCCATAATACTGAATTGAAAAACTGATGCAAGAAAGAATACATACGAGGGGAAAAAAAACTAGAAGGGAAAATACCAAACAATTACCAAAGAAAATAAAAACCTAGTTAATTCTTTGAGAAACCAGTATCTACAGAAAATTGGTAATGAAATTAATGAAGCCAAACAATGTACTGATCTCAAAATCACTGCATCACATTTCAACCCTGACCAGACTAAACTTAAGATTGCTGCAGAAATAGAATACATACCAATATTCATCCAACCATTACAAAGTCTATCCCCAAACAAAAACAATAATGAACCTAATAATGAGGAAATTAAGAAAGCCATTAAAAAAAAAAATAAGGAATAATAATAAAGCATCATTCGACATTGAAGTTGAATTTTTGAAAATAGTTTACTTTCTCCCTGAAGTCAATAACAAGTTCCTCTATTTTATGAAAGAAGTCTGGAATCAAAAATACACTCCCAAATAGTGGAGACAATCATGCATTAATGCATCATAAAAAGAGAAAGGTACCCTTCAAGATCCTCACACATACAGATGTATCTCAATTGGATCCACCATTTTGAAAATATTAACATTATATTAACTAGGCTTTCACTGTATCATGAAAATCAACTCCTCATGAGCCAGTTTGATTTTAGTTCTGGAAAGGGATACAACGATGACATATATAATCAAACAATTCCAAGAAATTGCTTACCTCTCTAACAGGAAATTATATACCTACTTTGTGAACCTCACAGCAGCATATGACCACATCAATTGAGACTTTCTTTTCTCATCCATTAGAAATCACCTTCCAAGCTGTGAAGCCACTGAATGCATCAATCTAATAGAGGAACTGTATCTATCTACAGAATCTTATATATCTGGCAAGGACTCCAATATGGAAAGCTTTCAGGCCTCATCAGGAGTACAAGGAGGAAATGAGAGTTCCAGTCTATTTAATCTTTTCCTAGACTGTGCCCTTCACATTTACAAACACAAATATGATGAGATGGGCACTGACCTTTTAAACATTCCATACTGCATCTCAAATGAATCAACCAATAGAAGAATCCGATCATGTTTTCCCTCCCGAGGCCAATGTACTGAGGATGATGGGAGCTATGCTGATGACATAGGTGTTCATAGTTGGGATAAGAATGATCTTGAACAGAAAATCAGCATCCTTTATCAAGTATTCCAAGAAATAGTACTCAAGATAAACCTTTCTAAAAACAGAAATTATGATATGGAATTGGAATGAAAGCAGTGATGGCACCTACCCTGAAAGCATCATAAAAATACAAAATGGGGAATTAGTAAATACTAAACACTTCAGATACCTTGGTGTATGGATCAGCAATAACAAACTAAGTAGAAAGAAAAAGAAAATGAAACATAAAATAGGCAGTGCCAGAGGTAGTTTTGCCAAACACCGTAAATTACTACAAAACCAAAATATCAACCTGAAAACTCATGTTTGGTCATTCACTCAGATAAAATGTTCTCAGCATCTTCTTTTTACAACTTGTGGCCTTGATACTACAAAATTTAGTGAGTATGTATGTACTGAACAAGACTTAAGGTAAAAAGAATGGCAAAAAAAAGGACTCCAAAGATGAAATGATTAAAAAAATCTATCAAAACTAAACTGGTAGCTATTGCTCTTTAGTGGGGAGCTTCAGTTTTATACCTGTACTAGCGTACCAGTGCTGTCAAAAATGACAGCAATTGTTAGAAAGTTTTAATAATGAGATGTGATGAAACAAAAGTCTTGAAACACCATATTGAGATTCAATGAAGTGGTGATAAAGAATTCACAACTAAAATAGAGGCCAATGAACTGTTTAATTAATCTGTTCCTTTTATATTTTTTTAAACATTCAAATGGTATCTATGATTCATTGATTACTCCTGGCATTATATAAATAACTTTTTGCTAAATACCTTTTTCATGTTAAAAATTGTGTGTTTAATATAGCAGTGAAATGAAAATATCTCTCAGAAGGAAAAGATTAGCAACAGAACAAAGACAGTGACAATAAAGCCTATTACCAAATTGAAGTATGACAATCACTTAATAAACAAAGGTATCTGAGTACCTCACATGAAAGGCTTGAACAAATAAGATTGCAATCTAAGAAATGCAGGAGTAAAAGAACTGATTAGTTAAGTGGATCGTTTTGTTTGGGAACTAATTTGTCTAAATGCAGATAAATATTTTATTTGAATAGATTATTAAAATGACTAAGGGAAGTAATCATTCATAAATTTACTAACTGTAATGGAAAATTGGATCAACCCAACAAGAGACCCAGAACTGGTTGCATGTGGCACAATAAGCATGAGTAGTTACGTCCTCTTCCACATTTGGCTGTTGAAAGGACACTCTACTTACAGTAGGAGGTAGTGACAAAATCTACATATGAATGATAATGTGTAGGTATTAGCCAATAGTCAGCCAGACAAGATGAACACACTAACTTAAATTGATTTACCTCTCTTCCCAGTATAGATGGGACAGGAAATATATAAATACACATTGATAATTATTACATGATCTGATTTGATATTATTATTTACATGCTAATTGCAGTCATATATAAACTTTCCAGCCTTAATAAAGTTCAATTTTGTTTACAGTCTTATGGAGGATAACTTATTTTCCACTCTGCAGCCTCTTTCTAACAGATGCAATGTCACAAGTTTGTTGCTACTTATCACTGTTTCCATGCTAAATGTTCATCAGCACCATTTGTTAGTTCCACCAGTTCAAACTTTTACAGCTAGGATATGCTATTCTATTCCCATGGAATCAAACTATCCTCATTTCCTCTCTATTTCAATTGTAAAGAGGAAGGTCCACTCAGCTTTACAGTTACTTTGTGGAAGTGACTCCCTGAACACTACAATTTAACCCCTTCAAAATCAAGGGCCAATTTTTATCTGTCTTATCCTCATAATCTTCACTTTCTATCACACACCTTATTCAGTAACTGTCTACTTTGAGTAATTCTTGAGCCTTGTATTGGTTGAACTTTATAAAAAGAAAGAAAGAGAAAAGATAAAAGAAAGAAAAAGAAGAGAAAAGATAAAAGAAAGAAAAAGAAGAGAAAAGATAAAAGAAAGAAAAAGAAGAGAAAAGATAAAAGAAAGAAAAAGAAGAGATAAAAGAAAGAAAAAGAAGAGATAAAAGAAAGAAAAAGAAGAGATAAAAGAAAGAAAAAGAAGAGATAAAAGAAAGAAAAAGAAGAGATAAAAGAAAGAAAAAGAAGAGAAAAGATAAAAGAAGAGAAAAGATAAAAGAAGAGAAAAGATAAAAGAAAAAAGAAGAGAAAAGATAAAAGAAGAGAAAAGATAAAAGAAGAGAAAAGATAAAAGAAGAGAAAAGATAAAAGAAAGAAAAAGAAGAGATAAAAGAAAGAAAAAGAAGAGATAAAAGAAAGAAAAAGAAGAGAAAAGATAAAAGAAAGAATTTCCTAACAGGATGTCAGTTTTGCTCAGAGTCCTTTGTTTTTAAACCAATATGTCTTAAGGAAGTATATAGGTATTACAATTTTGTCAGAGATAACCTGCAATTATAAAAACATGAAAGTTGGTAGAAAACACATAATGAATTAATTACCAGTATGATTCAGATTAATCAATAAACCTGACTAATAAAATCAATCAAGGTTAATTCTGTAGAAATATGTTAATTTTTTTTTCAATAACAGAAAGAAAAAGAATTTCAGAAAATAGTTTTATATATAAGTAAAATAAAAAATTTGGCATGTATCCCAAATTTCAATTTGCAACCACAAAGACCACTGACAGATTTTTCCCCAGTATCTTCCACCTGTCAATCATGCATGAATAGAAATCAGAATATGGTTGCTATCCAGTGGCTGCAAATTGAAAGACTTGCATCTGACAAAGAACTTGTAAAATTTATTCTCCATTTTAACATTCCCATCAACCTCTTCCCATTCTTTTTCTTTTTTAATATTCTTCTTTCATTTCCATTTTTACTTCCCTCTACCTTCTCCATCACCTTCTTCAATTCCCCATTCCCTTCCTTGCTCCACACTCTTCTTTCTTTCTCCAAATTTTCCCTCTACTGCTTTCTTTTACCTACCTTACCCACTTTTTCCTCTCTCTCTCCTTGACTTGGTCTTCCTTCCAATTTCCTTTCATTTCAACTAAATAAGTATACCAGCCATTTAGTATCTCACTCTCCCGTTTTACCAAATTATTTACTATATGCCTCATATATACTTCATATCTACCTACCTTTACAATATAAAATCTCTTGTTTCAAAATGTTCTCTACAGCTTTTATCTCCTGCCAGTGTGTGAAAGCCGGTAAATAAAGAAACATGGCTTGAAATGGACAAATTCATTCCTGGGTTCTTACTGTATTGGTAGAGCATCAAGGTTGTTCCTTGCTTGGTTCATAAATTTTGAGCTGACAGCTTGACTTGTAAAAATGCCAAGAAATGTTATTGATTCTATTTGTTCACTCAGCAATTACATAAACTTAATTTATCACACACACACACACACACACACAATAAAGTAAATTGCAATTGGTTTAGTCTAGAACATTTTTTTTTATTTTCAGTATCTCCTTTTGACTTACTGGAGAAATCATTTTATTAGAATATTGGTACTACTGCTATTCTAAATAAGCCAGGTGAAAAGAAAAACAAATCTGAAATCAACATTAATGTCTAGAGTCACCATGAATAATAACAGGGCTGAAAGTCCACATGACAAAGTTTTCTAGTTACAATTCATAAAAAAAATTTTTCCTGTTATGAAGAATTATTAAAAATGTTGATAGTGTAGTAAAGTTTCAGTTAAGAGTCTTTCACATTGAAAGGGGATAGATCAGCATATTGACAAAATAGTGTTAAAGAATTATTTCTTGTAATCAATTTTTTAAAAGCTGGGGTTTGGGAGAAATCATACAAAAGCTCCCTAAACAGCTGTGTTGTTTAATTCTTTCTTTTCTTTCAATTCTGGTCATGTAATTGTCAGGAAATAATTGGGAAGAAAGTAATATTTACTGTTATAAAATAAAGTTTTTATGCCATAAATAAAATTTTTGAACATTAAATAAGTAAATGAATTTACACTTTGTAATTAAATTCCATTTAGATTTTTGTTTTACAAATTGAGCATTATACAATTATAATGAAGTATTTTAAAATAGTTTTAATAAAAGAAGTGAATTCAGCAAAGCTTTGCAAATACAATGAGAAATGTTATTTCGTTATGTGGCATAACCTAACTTTGCACAAGTATAGCACCAAGAACAATGGTTTGTAATTTATAGTTTAGACTATCTGTATAAAAAGAACTCTACTTACATAAGCTAATCTTACAGTCCAATATAGATTCAGGATAAGGTGTTAAATAATAAGCTAAAATTAGGTTGCATAATGGAACTGCTAGAAATTTAAGAATGGAAAAACATTTTGAGAAACATTCATTAAAAACTGTCATTACACATGAAGGTGATAAGATAGTTCATACATTTATGCTACTAAAAATGATACAATTTAAATACTAGGGTTTGTTGACTTTATATAAGAAAATATTTTCTACTCTGAAAAAATGATTTCTACTTTTTCTGTCATAATAGTCTATCAATTTGATTGATAGACAGTTTAAATGATATCAATTTTCTAGGTGCAATGTATCAAGGCAAATTTCAATTATTTTTCTATGAAGGGATGCAGAAAAATTCTCAGCCTGACCAAGAACAGTTTTAAATAAAAATTCTGTGTGGTTATTTGATCACATTTTTGAGAGGTGAGTGTGACATTAACTTTTCAGATCCCCTTCATAATAATAATAATAATAATAATAATAATATTCTTAGATCAATTAGAATTCCTTTATCTAAAGAATAGAGAGTGAATCTCACCTTACAGTGGTATTGATTCTTTAATTAAATTTGTTTGTAACAAGTGACGGCATCGGGTTGAGTATTGCAGAGGTTATCTAAACTATCAAGCTTAAATATCTTCCCATCATTTCAAAATAGTCATAATTCTAATAATGGAATTCACCCCAAGCTAGATAGTAAAGCCAAGACACAGGAGGTTAATTGTATGTGGAAGAACTAGAAAGCAGAAACATTAATAAGGATCAAGAACAAGAAAAGAGTAATCAAAAAAACATTACCAAGTAGCAAGAACAAGAGAAAACTAATCAGGAAAACAGTAGATAGTGATTAACATTGCATTTCAAATTTTGAAGATCAAAATTGACTGGAATGCATGGAGCTGGAAGAGAGTTCCACAAGCAAAAAGTCCAAGAAAAGAAACTGTTAACATAGAAATTATGGTTACATCTAGCCAAGTCGTCTGTAAATTGATGAGACTTCGACGTCTAGTACTGCACTTAAATTCATAAAGTCCAGGTACCATAACAAAGAGCTCATCTGAACAATTATCATGGAAGTATTTCTAGAAAACAGACAGGTAGGTAAATTTATGGTGGTGGGGAAGTAACTGAAGCTGAAACGCCAAGTCTGAACCAATAATATTGTTGATTATTCTTTGGATTTTATAAAAAAATTTCTAAATGTATAGCAGGAGCACCAAACTATAAATGACAGCAATATTCTAAGTATGGATGAATGGTAGGCTTATAGATATGTAAGATAAATTCTGAAGAGAAAAATTGTCTTGCGTGACACTGTGAAGCAATTTACTTAGTAGCTGACTTAACAATGGATTCAATACATTATAAAATAAAAGCAAGAAGACCAATATGTATAAATTAATAAATAAACAGGTGAGAGACATTTAATGTTCACATGAAAATAATTAATACAGGAAAACCATAAGGTTTTCTTGTATTAATTATTTTCATTTTTTGAAAAAAATGTAACACATACTAATTCTACTTGCTTCCAATAGTCATCTCATTTTTAAAATAAAACAACTGGAGTTAAAAAAAAAAAAAAAAAAGGATTCCAATATATAATAGTCATTGTACTATGAATTGTTCCATTGTTCAGTTTATTTTTAAATTGCCAATCTGAATAGATGATGAGCATAAAAAAAATGTGAAGCTGCTATCAGCTAAACATATTTTCCTCTATGTAATCATAGCCTTATTCCTTTCCTCATTGGAAGTCACTTTTGCAATATTTTTCTGTTCTATATCTCAGTAGAAACTATTTACACTTGAAAAATTAAAGATATTCAATGAAACTGATATTGACAATTCTTTTTATGCATGTATAATCATAACAATGAAATAAAACCACTTGGATCATTTTTTAAATGCAGCGCTATAATTTTCTGAAGAGGTAAGATTTTTAGATACGGAAAACAAAGTGCTATGCATAAGAAAAATAGCAAAACAGAAAAGTTAATGAAAACTTGAATTAAATAGATTTATCTTTGTCAATCTCAATCTGTTGATTTTTAGATCTGATTCTTTAAAGTATTAGTTTGTGCATAATTAAAACACCAACATTTTTTTCTTAGTTATGAACATGAAAGCACAAAAAATAACTTGACCTTATCTATTAAAGAGTACTTTCTTTAAAGTTAATTCATTTTAAAGATGGGAAAAAATATATTTTGGCAGGTTATATATTGTATATACCTATTTTGTTAAACAAGAATGACAAGGTAGTTTTGTTTAATTTTAATTTTTACATTTCTCTTGTATAAGTGTTTTCTTTGGACTTATAAAAACAAACTGAAGATATCAAATTAATCATCTATTATAAAAAAAATTAAAAACATCTAACCTATATCAGGCCAACACTGTTTATGATGCTCTCATAGAGAATTGTGTTACCAATGAAAAGCCCATAAATAATTATGTTGGATACATCACCACTTCCTTCTCAATATGACTGACTCTATATCTCTGTAACCAGATCTCAATATGGACAAATTTAAACCAGTAAGGAATCATACCTACCTCAATATGCAACATACTTGTTAAAACAAATGTGATATAGACATCCAAGTGCAAAAAGTGTTTAAAGGTGATGGAAGCTTATCATAAAATGCAACAACATAATAACATCACTTATGAACATGATCACAATATACTGGATACAATTTGGAAATTAAAAATATGTCTACTTTCAGCAACTTTTATACTGTCTGCAATAGCATTGATATACCATTTATTATAATAGCATAAGAACCCTTGAAAATTGCTAATAGTTTTTTTCATCAAAAATCAATGAGCATTTAAACAAAAGCAGTTTGTCAGTTTTGTTTAACAAAATGTGTATATTAAAGAGACACAAAGACACACACACACAGACTATTTTTAAGAATGTGGGTGATCACTCATCCCTGTTGTGATATTGAGCCATTAGCCTCCTTAGTGTCATCAACAAACACTTTGAATCTATAATCAACAAGAAGGTTGTTCAACACCTCAACAAGTTCTGAGTGATAACCAATATGAATTTTGCTCTGCTAGATCCATATCTGATAATTTTAAGCATCATTACTTACAGAATCAGCCAGGCATTAGACAATAAATTCATCATGAGGACCATTGCCCTAGATAAAATCAGCCTTTGACAAGGTGTGGCATCAGGAGATGTTACATAAACTCTCCAGCTATAGAATCTCTGGAAGGACTTCCTCAATTGTCAAGTCCTTCCTAACTGGTTGACTGTGAACAATAACAACAACCTGTTATCAGAAGTCAATGAGATCAATGTTGGCATTTCTCAAGGTTCTCTTCTCAGCCCTATAATCTTTCTGATCTATAATAACAATCTGCCTAAGAACATACTCCAATCTTTAGTGAATATCTATGCAGATGATACAACAGTTTATAGGTGCACCTCCAAAAAATCTGGATGACCAGAATCTGGTATCTGATCTCCCCTCTGACCTAACTCAGGTAACTCAGTGGGGGAATGACTGGTTTTGGGCATCTGGAATTTTGCTAGCCAAACTAGTAACATTCCACCGTCAGTGAGCAGACCCTGAACTTTTACCTATCATGAGGAATGGGTTTTCTCTTGAAGAGGCTCCTTGCCTTGAACCTCTATTGGAACTCAAGCTCACTGCAGACTTCAAATAGAAATCATATATACAATCTATTACTAAAGATGCTGAGAAAAAAAAATGGAGTATTGCTGCCATATTTGGGTTAGAGCTACCCAGTACTCAAAAGTAAATTGAAAAATAATGTGTCCAGATACCCCAAAAAATTCGTTTAAAGAGAAAAGAGCATACCATGAACAAAAAGATCCTAAACTTAATAAAAACGGTTTTATCGTCAAAATGTTTGACGAGTAAAGACCAAAATATTTTTTTGATTATTTTATTGAATTTTTTAATCCTTTCTAGTACGAAATTTTGGTTAAAAATCTCATTTTTTTCCTTGCACCAGCGAGTGGGCTAAAGATTAAATGTTAGCTGTTTTAGTGTCTTTTTGTAGTGAAAAAACACATTTTTTTGGAAATTCTTGCAAAAATCAAATAATTGTTGGATTTCAATGTTATTTTCAGAACTATTATTATTTTTTATTTTTAGGAAATCTTGTTAAAATTTCCATTTGTTTTTTGTTTTTTTTTTACATCTGTTAAGTTGTTAAACCCATTAAATTTCCAGAAATTAAAATTCCACTCTCTTCCTTCATATTCATAGTTCAAATCAGAAAATTGGAGAAATCATCAAATTGTTTTTGTCAAACAGAAACAGCATTTAAAGAATTTAGAAGATTTTTTTTTTTAATGAAGAAAGAATTACATTGTGATGAAAGACAACTTAAAAAAGGGGGCGAGAAAGACAAAGAAAACGAAAAAACAAAAACTCCTTCCAGTCAATTTAAATTAATTTTGGGGAATACAGCAAAGAATTTTGCTTATTGGAAATGTTAAATTAAATTTATTTGCTCAAAATTAAAATTAAAAAAGCTTAAAGAAAGATTTTTCATTTTTAAAAATTCATTTTATTTTTAAATTTTTAAACCTTACCTTAGGTATCGCGTTTTCTGTGGTGGTTTGTCTTTATTTCTGAGATAAGGTATTGTAACTATTTTTTACACTATTGTCTGGACTGTTGTCTTCATCTTTATTGTCACATTAACAACGGTTCGAAATTCAAACAAATATCACCTGGAGAAGGCCGGAGCCTACAACACCCGAAACGTTGTGAATGTGACAAGTAGTGATGCGTTGTGTTTTTACAGTTTTAGTTTTATGTTTTTACAGAGTAAAAAGACTATTCAAAATGAATCAAATTACAATTACTCTCGCTGAAATCAATGCAACTGTATGTGCTGATAATTATTTTTTCCTCAATCAAATTTCTACGACGAATCTCCCCTACGAGTTAAAAAAAAAAAAAAAAAAAAAAAATCAGTTTTCAACTTTTAGTTAATTAAGTATCACGATTATGGTTCTTCACAACTTCCAGATAAAGTTATGAATCTTCATCGTAAATAGTTTTAAAAAAAATAGTTTTTTTTTTACATAGGTAATTAAAAATAATAAATTTCTTGTCTCAAGTAATGTTACAGAAAGATTTTTGATGTTTTGAATATTTTTGGAATGGATTTTCGTGAGCTACCTGAGAAGTGAAAAGGGTTAATTTTGGCAACTCAAATCAACAGCATTGTCGTAGAAACGGTCTTGAATTAGCCAAATATTCTGAAGGCCGAGTCGTCGTCGGTTGGAGATAAAAAAAAAAATAAAAAAAAAGTTTGCCATTTCTGTTACTGTTGGGAAGTTTCCCCATAAGCATTCTATAAGCAGTCTGAGCACTAACAGGAACTCACTACACTTCTAACATTTTTTTTTTTTTACAACTTATCAGGAATTTTTATATTATTCTAAAAAACGGCAAAGAAAAAAAATGCCATCAAACAAAATATATTTTTTAAAAGACTACTAACTAACCTGAATAAATGTCGGTTTTCTCTTAAGAAGACAGTTACTGAGGGATATTTGACTGAAGTTATGAATTTAAATTTGTAAGATTGAGTTTTTAAGAAATTATTGTTGTGACTGTTGCATTGAAAATTAAGAATTTCAATTTTAAGAATAATTTTTCTGTTAGGAAAGCGCTAAAAATTATTTAAGCAATTAAGTTGATTAGAGAATTAATTTTAAACTGACATGACAGTGACACTTGAACTTGAGACTATGGTTTGTTTTTTACAAGTGTAAAAAAGACTTTTTACACACATGCCCGGTAACGTTTCCTAAATAATACAGGTAGGTAAAAAAATGAATTGTATGTAGTTTACTGTTGTTGCTTAAAAAAAAAAAAAAAAAGGTGTCAATGAAAGATAATGGGGAAAAAACAAAACAAATGTACCAATAAAAATAGTATTTCAATAACACTGATGATCCGAACCAACTTCAGAAAAAAAAAAAAAAATAGACGAATATTTGCCAAGTAGATTGTATTGAGGAGAAATGAATCCAGTGCACATGGCATTGTTATGGTTAAGAAGATTTTTTTTTTTAATAAGGTTTTTAAACCGGGTTTTGAGAGGGATCATCAATGTTATTGTTATTCAAATTGATTGGGTGGAAGCGAATTAAAAAAATGAAAAAAAGGCAAACTCGGTTCGGATTCTTATTTGGTACAAATTTGAAAAATTAAAAAAAAATAATTTAGGAAAAAAAGAGACTCGGGAAGAGAAGGGGTATTTATTTACTAACTTGCTGAATTTATTCAGATTACACATGAACGATCTGAGAATTAACAAATTAATTGGATTTCTAATTTATTATCACTAGACAGGTAACCTAACACTTCCTAAAGCTTAGAGCTGGATATTGAAAAAATACTGAAAACAAGTCATTAAAAAAATCAAAAACAAAAAAAAACAACAATAAATCTTCGATAAGGAATATAAAAAAAAAAAGAAAAAAAAAAGATACTTGTCATCTATAAGTTTTCCTTCACCTTCAGTCAGTGAAAAATAAAATGTACTATGGAAATACATTTATAACCAAATCAAATCTCCCATTTAAATTTGTTCCGGGATGATATTTAAGTTGAAATTAGAATTTATAAAATTTGTTTAAAAAAAAAAAAAAAAAAAAAAAAAAAGAATTTTTTTTATTTTACTGTTTTTAAATCGGTCTGTTAAAAGGTGCAGCATTTTTTTTTTATTTTTAAGCAATGAAGTTGCTTAAAATAAAAATTGAATTTATTTATTTTTTGAGTCATTTAAAATTTATTCTTAGTTTTTCTGGCCCAAACTGAAAAATTATTTTTTTTTATTTTTATTACCGTTTGGAAACGTGTGTGCCCGAAACCAAAATTATTTTTCTTTGAAAGTGTTTTTTCTTTTTCTTTCTTTCTTTCTTTTTCAATTTTGAAAGTAAATGTCCGGTTTAAAACAAAAAAAAACTTCTTAAAAACCATAACAATGCCATGTGCACTGAATTCATTTCTCTTCAACACAATCTACCTGTCGGAAAGTTCTTGACAAAACAATAGGCAAGAATTACATTTATCGAGCAGCGACTGCTGTTTGTATTTTCAATGAATCGCAAGTAAACTGAAAAATATGAGGTGCTGCCATGAATTGTGGACTGACTGGACTGGAGGGTTATTTTTTAAATTATTATTATTATTTTTTTTATTTCATTTATTTTTTTGAAGGACGGTAAAAGGACATTGTTTCTTAGACATTTCGCCAGCAGGCAGACAAAAAAAAAATATGTCTATAACTTTGTATACAAAAAAATATTTAAACAACTGATACTTCGGCATCGCCTTCTCTTACTTTTATTAACACTCAATGCATTGATTGATATTATAGCGTTGTTCCAACCAGACAGTTGCTATTTTTACCTTATCTCATATTGTTTAATGCAGCTTATTTTTAAACTATTTAGGCAAGATCTTTTCTTTTTTTTTTTTTGACCGAACAGGAACGTAAGAACAGGAAATACGGATAAAAATGAATTTTAAAAAACTGTATTAGCATGGAAAATTAAGATAAAAAAATATTTGCATGATGGCATTAAGATGGGGGTGGGAATAACTTCAAGGCGGTTTTTCAAAATCGTTTTTACACGCTTATTTAATTAATAGCAGAGCTTAATGTTTTTATTTGTTTTACACCTTCTCCGCCTCAAGAAAAAACTGAAAAACGTCAACCTGTCAATAGATTCTCTAATTTATTGAAATTTAAATATTCCGGAATCGCAAGGTGAAATATTTCAAACTAAAAGGAATAAAACTAAAAGTATTTATTTTCTTCTTAAATAAAGATAATAAAATAATACATAGTAGTTTTTTAACTTAGTAGTATATAAGTATTTATTTAATAATTGTCATGTTCAAGTTTACTTACCTAAATAGTTATCCTCCTCCATCAAGTCCCGTTTTCCCAACAATTTCGTTCGAAGAGAGCAGTAAGAGACGACGACGATCGTCCTAATGAAATAATGGACATCAAACATTATATAACCCAGTAAAAGGGCTGAACCGGACAGAAGGGCCAACATGATTTGTTTTTCAAGAGGTTGGTCGTCAGTGCGATCGGAGTCTCACAGGTTATGAGATTAAACAACCACGAGGAGGGAAGAACCGGGTATGATTTTTCCTCTCTGTTAAAGGACAAGGCATCTGAAGAAAAAAAAAAGACTTAACTGGAAATGGCCTTTCTTTCCTTTTTCAAAGCAACACTAAAAAAAAGTATGCCAAAACAGATGGATACATCACTTTCGTCATCATGGCAATCGTAAAAGCCGAAGCAGAACTTTCAAATCATCTGTGCTGAATGAATGAATGAGGAGAAAAAAGACGAAATATTAGAAGACGGAGGAGACAGGTCGAAAAGGAAATAGCGGTCTGCCTGCGGATGAGTTTGTTAGATCATAGTTACCTCGTGGAGAGAGCTGGGTGGAACCAGTAACACACACAAATAAAATAAAACTAAAACACTAACAGGAATATGAGAATAGACACCCCCTTATTTTTTTTGATTAATCACTAAATAAGCAACTTCATTTAAGTTGTTTTAGAGAGAACATTACGTAATGACTGAAATTAACTGTGAAGAGAAAGACAATTATTAAAAATAAAAATATTTATTGCTATATGAAAAAAATAAAAAATAAAAAAAAATTATTGAAGCAGAGATGTTTTAAAATTTGTATTATCTGGGAATATTAAAGCACAACGTTCAACTATATAAGCGTCATAAATGCAATTTAATTGGCATTGATTGTACATACATTTATGATTTAAGTCTAGTTGTAATGATAAAACCTTCAAAACAATCATCTTTCAGGTAACAAACATTTTATTTTTACAAAAATTTAATTAACCATGATTGAAAGAAAAGGATATCTACAAAGAATATTCAAAATTTTATAAAATTTTGAGATTTTTAGCGAAATTTCAAAAAGCCACATAAAATCAGATTAACATATATATCAAAATAACCAGATCCAGAAAAAAGCCTGCCACCCAATAAAATCAGAAATGGATAAGGCAATATAAAAGAAAAAAAAATGTTCAGCCAATTGCTGTTGGCTTTGGTCAATTCATAGCTTTTCAAATTTGTTCCCCCAGAAAACAGATAAATACAAGACTTTGCAACAAGTTGTAGTCAGTCAATACAAAAAGCCTGTACAAATCTATTACAAACAACACCTTTTACCCAATGAAGAAAGTGAAATAGCTAGAGATTATAAGAACCACCAGCAACAAAAATGACCACAGATTCTTTAAATCAATATGCTTATATCTTGTAAATTATGAGTAATAACATTTACTAAAATGTATGAACTTTATGCTAGGGACATCATTTCTAAAAACATTTAAAACAATATAACTTTACTATGAAAAGATAGCACAAAAAGTAACTCTTATACCTTTATATACAATTTATTAATTAATTATTAATTATTAATTCTAAAGAAATTGCAGTTTTAAATTTTACTACAATTATTAGAAGTTTATTTATTGTGACTATAACAAGTTACCAAAACTGCTGTAAAGCCTCCTGATATAATTTAATCTTTAATGATTTGTGATTTATGATCAAATGACATTAATTTGATCAAACAAAATATTTCTTAAAACTACTCTTTAGAAAACATCAAAGTTATAAAATTATCTTTCTAATGCTTTATATTTTTCATATAAAAGATCAGATTGTAATCTGATGTTTTACAGTTAAATATGTAATTATTTTAGTTTTGTGACTATTTGCTAGGTTTTAGAAGGATTTATAGTTCATGCTAAAACCTAGCTTTACAATTTGCAAATCCATTGTAATATTCCAGATACTTCAAAAAGGAAAAATGCATATTATAGATATTTATCCACCCCTGCATGGAGGCAAATTTGACATTGATGGTTTAAAAATATATGTTCAAAATTGAATGTTATTGTCACATTCAAAATTATGCTTCATCTTTTGCTGTTAAAATGTCCTTCCTGCAGAGGAGGAGAAAAATGTCTGAAAGGATATTGAATATTATCGTTATGATTTTTATAACCCAAACTCTTTTAAACTTCATTTTAAACTGCAATGATAATTATATGAATTTGATAATTTCTTTGACATTTTTATATTTCCAAAAAGACTTAAGAAATTGGTCCTATTTTGCTATTTCAATGATCGCTTTAAAGTAATGACAAAAAAACAAAACTGTTCCCATTTGTGGCGTTTTTTTGTTTATATAACTATTTTTTTTTTGTTTCATTGGTGGAATATGAAAAATCGATTACAATTCTTGATTTATTTTAAATTTTGCCTGCTGATCAGTATTATTTAAATGTTTTTGACTTCAAAATTAAAATATAAGCGTGATAATTTGTTGATCTTTTCTTTTTGATATTGCGTTTATAAACTATTTTTAAAAAAATCACTTTAAAGTTTTCATTCAAGTTTATTTCGGTTTAGTAATAATAATAATATTAGGAAGCAAGAGTTGCTTCCCCTCGCATGTATAATTCACGTCTTCCTATCTTGTCATTTTGTGATACACTTCCCGCTTTAAGTAACGGCTTTGCTGTGCCACTGCTCTCATCGATCTTCGTCTTAGCCAACAAACGAAACAATTTCCAATGTGTTAATCATGATTAAAAATTCAGTTTATAGCAGTAGCACTGTTTTTGTACAGTTATCATTTTTTTTTAAATTATGGTTCAACTTTTCTTTGAACTGCTCCATCCAATCTCATGCATTTTCATAAATCATTATATTTTAAATTATCACATCAGTTGTGTAAAATTACTATTTTAACTAGTTATAATTCACAAATCATGAAGAAATAATTACATTCTGCTATTCAAACCAGCTTGCTCATGTTGGTTTTGTGGCCTTTGTTAAAATGTCTATTGTATTTAGTACCCAAAGCTTTTTATAATTTTGAAATAAACACTTTATTCAATCTACAGAAATTGATTGTATTCATTCCACTTTCCATGCTGAGAGCACATTTTATATCAATTAATACTTACTGGCCTTTTCCACCTTTATGTTGCTTTTCCATTAAAACCAGTGAATGTAACTTTTCAGCACTAGCAGTGCCAGGGACTTAACTCACAACTGCTAGGGAACTAGATATGTTTTAACCAATGCTTTAATCTACTAGACCATATAGTAAAAAATTTTGCTTGCCCCACTAAAAGTACCAAGCAATAAGAAGATTATACAAAATATAAACGATATCAAATATAGTTTGTTGATGATATTTATTTATATATAACACATTAACTCTGATCACACAATACTCAAGAGTGAGACCACAAATTGCACCAGATACTTGAGGAAACATTGTTAGTGGGTATTAGTTACAGAAGACTATGTTATGCAGCATTTTCCTTTCTATTTCAGAGGTATCAAGAGTATTAACATATCAATTTCCAATCTGATGCAGGAAATAAAAAGTCACACCATGCTTGTGGCACTAGCCACCAACTACAATGACATGAAAATTTTGAGCTTCTTGAAAGTGTCCAGTAAACACAAGAAATAATGAGTGGTTCTACATTGAGAACACAGTAATGTACATTGTCTGTGATGGGCTTGAGCAAGAAAGGCCACTTCTTCCTGTAGAGCCTCAGGATCAATGCCACTGACTCAATCAAAGGTGCTGGATAAGCTCTGAATCAAGGTAGGAGTAGCCATATATGTTCTAGCATGATTTTTTCCCCCCTCTCTCTCATGATCCAAAAGTGGCTGGCCAAGAATCATGTTACCCCCACCTCCACTACATAGCCTCATAGCTCTCTACATTTTAATCCCCTTGAATACTAAATCTGGAGCATAGATGAGATAAAGACTAAGTAGCAGTCCCATGGTACCAAGGATTCATTAAAAGGCTGCAATCATGAATGTAATGGCTAACATAAACACCTCCCACCCTGAAATGAGCATGTAATTGCTTTGAAGATTGTTTTGAGGCCAACCTCAAAGATAAGCAGTTTTATTGAATAAAAAATTACTGTTTTTCTAATTTCAACGTGCACAAGATCTTTAAAAAAATATATTGATTTTTTCTTCTTTTTTTTCTATTGAATATCTTCTTTTTTTTTTTTATAATTTCTCAATTATTTAGTGCCTCCGGAACATAAGTGTATTGAGAGAGACAGACATACACAAACAATAACAACAACATCTAAGCTTCACAAAATATTTCTGTCCAGGCAATTAAATGCTTCTATCACTACAAGACTAATGTCACCCAAGAAAAATTTAATATAGTAGTTACAGCACACTGCAGGTTAATCCTGTTTCACCTTCTGGTAGAATAAAAAGATTATCATCTTTGGGCCCCAGTTTATTTCTATTGTACACATTCCCTCTCAGAACATTAGAACAATTGATATACACCAGGAAATTCTATAGCTATGAACAATATAGCTTCAATTGCTCATACCTATAAATGAAATCAACATTATACCCAGCACTTCCTTTTCTTAATAATGTGATTTCAATCAGTATTTCTGTACATTCTCTTCTGAACCCCTTTATTTGATTTGATTTTCTCACATCAAAGAGAAGCTAATTTTAGTAACAATTCTCAGTATTTCTGATTCCATAGATGTTGGCGTGTTTGAGTCAAATTTTTTTGTCCTCTCCACTGCCTTCGGTAAACAATTGACATCACAATACCTAGAGTGCTTATTTCTCCTTTTTTTTTTTAATACTAAAAATACTAACAATATAAAGATGACCTCCTTTTTCTCTCCATATGTGCTCAGCCAGGCCGGATTTTTCCACTTCCTCTCATGTTACAGCTTTTTGGTGTTCTTGAAGCCTTATCTCAAGGAGGCGGCCTGTCTCCCCTTTATATTTCTTTCCACATCTACACAAGATGGCATACACACAGTCTTTAGTCATGTTCTCCTCTATGGGGGATCTTACTCCAGAGAGATATCTGCAAAATGCCATCCAGCTTTTGAAGGTTGTCCTAATGTCATAAGGACCGCAGATCCTTTGTATTTTTTCCGATAACCCCTTCACATAATGTAAATAGTGTATTAT